AGAGACAGAGACAGAGACAGAGAGAGAGAGAGAGATTCAGTCTATTTCACAAATGGGGTGGGGGATGACTACTTGTTACATAGCAGCAGGTTACATTAAAAAAAAAGAAAAGTATGCATTTTAAAGAGGATGTATAGCACTAGTTAGAGGAGATAAAGAAGGAACATGTGCTTGTTAAAGTACAGCTGTTCACATGAGATTAAAAGGGTATTCATCATTTCTGATGTGAGATGAAGAGCAGAAAAGCTCTTTGCAGTAATTAAAAGTAGAAAGACAACACAGAAGGAAACTAGCTGTTATAAGCTAATCCTGCACTATGTGCTGAGACCACACATAAAAAATAGTAAATTAGCACCAAAATAGGTTGATTACATCAATTCTTAACTGTCCACTCTTAATTCTTAATAATCCAAGCAAATCAAGTCAACATATTGCCATGTCTGAAAATGTATTGAAAGTTTTTCTCTGCTTGCTCAATTCTTTAGGATCTCTACTAGTGTTTTAGGTGGAGGCTTGCTTGTGTCAATTTCTTCTGTTACTGATTTTTAGTTTTGGGGTGATGGTACATTTATTGGTTTTTTGAGGTTATGAAAGGGAGCTAAGTTCATTGATAAACTTTGATTTCAGCTATCTTGCTAAAAGTTCCTCAAAGCCTCCTTATATTCAATGAAAGGTAGAATTTGTTCTTTTAATTTCTCATTATTGTGAAATAATTTGGGGAAATGTGACTACTCTGTCTTTATTTTTTATTAATTTATTTTTGGTTTTCAACAATCACTTCTATACACTTTTGAATTTTAAATTTTTCTCCCCCTTCCTCCCCAAGATGGTGTACAATCTGATATAGGCTCTACATATACATTTCTATTAAACATATTTTCACATTAGTCATGTTGTAAGGAAGAATTAGAACCAATAGAAGGAACCACAAGAAAGAGGAAACAAAGCAAAACAGAAGGAAAAAAAGAGCAAATAGAATGCTTCGATCTGCATTCAAACTCCATAGCTCTTTCTCTAGATGTGGATAGCATTTTCCATTATGAGACTTTTGGATATGTCTTAGATTCTTGCATTGCTGAGAAGGGCTAAGTCTATCAGAGATGACTATTCTCTTGTAAGTTGATTTCACTTGAAACTTTATTTTAATTTATATAATTTAAATAATTCTCCATTAAAGTCCAACTTCAGTGCCTCAGTATAATGGAAAGAATATTGAACTTGGAGTCAGGAGAGGTTCCATAACCACCACTGACTAATATTAGTGGTGTGATCATGGACAAGTCATTTAAGTGTCTAAACCTTTTCTTTCTCTTAAAAAAAAAAGTGAATGATGCCCACAGTACCTACCCCACACAGCTGAGCATCAAATGAGATAATATATATGAAGCACCTTGTAACCCTTAAAGCAAAATACTAATGTCAACTCTCTTAATAACATACATTATTATTATTGTGGTGTGAAGTTGCGCCAAGGTCCTTTAAGACTATTTCATCAGAACTCAGGTTCTGGCATGTCCTACTAAGCTGGAAAGAATCCTATGCAGGCCCCAGGATTGGAATGAAGGTCTGTCATCCCTAAGTTTAAAGAAGCTTATCTCAGAAAAGTTGGTCACTAGGTGATAGCTTCTTTAGCCATATCAACTTATAAATACTTTCTTTTAAGGTATTGAGTTGTATAATCTACATAGGTGGAATGGTTGCCTACATCAATGAAATCTTAGAGTAGGGTTTTAGATTGTTGTTTTTTGTTTTTCTGTTGGACCTGTGATTTCATTGGAGATAGGAACTCCCAGTGAGGAAATTCCCTTTGCCAATGAAAATGGTAATTGTTCTCTAGTAAGAGAGTTGCTTGGGGTCATTGAGAGGTTTCATAACTTGCCTACGGTCAGAGAGTCACCTTTTGCTAGAGGCAAACTTGAACCTAAGTTTTTCCATCTCTGAAACTGCCTCTCTACTACCTCATAGATACTTGCGATAGAATAAAAAGTTATAATAATTTCTACTGGGAGTTGCTTTCAACAACTCCCAGTTGTTGAATAACTATTGTGATAGTCCTCATTTTACCTATGGTAAAACTGAAATACACAATAGCCAGTTAATGGCATAGTGAATGGAGTTTGGAGAAAGACCAGAGTTCAAATGTGACTTTCATCAATTACTAGATGTATGACCCTGGGCAAATCCCTTAACTGCTCTCTGCCTCAGTTTACTCATCTGTAAAATGGGGATGAAAATAGCACCTACTTCCAAGGGTTGTTGTGAAGTGCTTCACAAATCTTGAAGTGCTATGTTAAGTGCTAAATATTATTGTGGTCCAAAATCTGTCAGAGATCCAAGACTTAATGACTAGTTTTTAATACTTATGTGATTATTTCTTCTTTGCAGACTTATAAGCTTGCAATTACAGATTTAAATATAGCTATCTCCATGGACAAAGCCTGTTTTCTAGCATTTTATAACAGAGCAATATGCTACAGCAAAATAAAGGAATTTTATATGGTAAGACAATAAATATCTTTTTTTTAACTAAATAGAACATTAATGCATCCCTTCTTATTGAACTGCTCTACTTCTCAAACCCACTTTTACATTAAACACTGCTCCTGTGAGACGTTAAAAGGAAAGTCAATGCCATGATCTTTACACTCTCATTTAAAAGCATACATAAATTAAAATTCAGTATGTAGTCAATTCTAGTTTCATTTGGAGTTTTTATTGACTTTATGGGACTTGAATATTTAAGCAAACAAATTGACTCTGCCATTACTTCAAGAATTTAATGAAACCATGGGCTCAAGAGAGTTTTATAGAGATATTTCTTGAGACAGAGACTGGGCAAAATAAGCAACGTAGTATAAGAGAAAGGGGCAGGTGTTCTGAAGTCAGAGGACCTGAGCTAGACCTCTGCCTAATATCCTGGGAACCTCTTTGTATTCCAGGTGCCTTTCTCAACTAAGGTGATGAGATAGACCAGTACAAATGCAAACACATTACAAACTCCTAAATGATATTAAAGCTCATTTCTCTTAAGTTTTTATTCTCATTCTTATTTTGTGGGGGTTGAACTCTCTGCAGTCCAGTGTAATGGAGGAGAAAGAACTTAGGATTTTAAAAACAGAAGACCTAGTTCTAGCAAGGCAACTTTGGACCCATCATCTCCCCTCTCTGGGAAGATGAGGCAATGTTTTATAGAACCATGGCCTTGGAATCAGAAAGACTTTGGTTCAAATCTGCATTTGATTTTTAAAAATCAGCTAAGTGAAGCAATAGACATGGAGTCAGAAAGGCCTAGGTTCAAACTCTCCCTTGGGCATTCTCTAGCTGTGTGACCCTAGGCAAGTCATTTAATATCTGTGTGCCTCAGTTTCCTCTTCTATAAAATGAGAATAATGATAAGACCCACCTCCCAGAGTAGTTGTGAGGGTCAAATGAGATAATATTTGTAAAGCACTTTGTAAACCTTGAAGTGCTATATAAATAAATGATAGCTGCTATTATTATTAATTATTATTATTTTTATTAATGGGACCAGAGACTCTCAGTGTTTCTGATAATTCATCTATAAAATGGGATCAGTAATACCTGTAGTACCTGTCTCATAAGGTTGTTATGAGATTGGAGGGAAATATATATAAAGCACTTTGGAAGTTTTAAAGCACTATCTAAATATCAATTATTATTATTACTATTAGTTTCTTCTTCTGTAAAATGAATATTATTGGAATAGATCTCTAAGGACCCTTCCAGTTCTAAAGATATAATGCTTTTTTTTCACCTATTTTCTCATGTCAGAGATTACCTGATGATGGCAAGGACCCAGGCACCCAATGAAATGAGTGACTTTTTTGCTTTTGAGGCGGTCAGGATTAAATGACTTGCCCAGGGTCTCACAGCTAGTGTGTGAGGCCATATTTGAGCTCAGGAAGATGACTCTTCCTGACTCCAGGGCCAGCACTCTATCCACTGTGCCACCTATGCGTCCCTGTGACTTTTCATTTCTCTGTCTTGTCCCCACCCAGATGATTTGTTTCCTTGCTAAACTTTGATCTCTCCCCTTTCAGAATAGACGTTTCAGTATCAGAGTTCCTTATCAGGGATGTAAAGAGTCCTCAGTTTCTGGGTCTCTCCACAAAAAAGCTTTTACTGCCGTTACCTCCCTTGTCTCTCTCTCTTCTCCCCTCCTACCATCTCTCTTATTGTCTTTTTCCTTTCCTTTCCTTTCCTTTCCACTTTCTACATTAAATTTGTTTAAAAGGATAACCTTCTTAATCTCTTTCATTAATTCTCTCCTGTTGTGAAAAGAGGCTATATCTGGAAAATTTTAGACATTTGTGAGTTGTTGATTGAAAGATTTTGGAAAGCACTGTTCTAGTGTTAAAAAGTATTACTCTAATTTTAACTGTGGGTTCATAGTAGCCTCCCCTTAACAATAATTAAATTAAATAATATCGACCTAATGAAGGACTAGAAGTCCTTCAGCATCTAAAGATTGTTTAGAATATTTGATGTTCGTAACTGTCCAACAGGTTGTTATTAAAAAAAAAAAAGACAGTTTTGTTTCTCTAGAAATTGTTAGACAACAGCACTGAGAAGAGAGTTTCATTGAGCCCTGAACTTTTAGTCAAGAATATCTGGGTTTGAATCCCACTTATGACACTTTCTGTCTATGTGAACATGGGCATTTCAGTCCTCAGACTGAAAATGGGATTATCTCCGTTTTACAGCAATCTACCTGACAGGATAGTTGTTAGGATAAAAAAAAAATGGATCTTAAATGGTTTTCAGAACCTTCAAGTGCAATATAAATGTAAATATTATTATTAGTGATATGCTATTTAAGATAATTACCCAACTTATGTGAGCAAATGACCTTAAGTAAAAAATACTTAAAATGAGGTTCACTTCAAATGCTAGACTTTTAGAACTAAAAAGAACTTTAAAGACCTCCTAGTTCAACTTGCTATACTTATAGTGGGGGTTTGGGTTGCTCCCTTGCCCCTAACCCTACCCTCAGTATTTATATATATATAATATTATTATTATATTTTTTGCTTTTTTTTGGTGAGGCAATTGGGGTTAAGTGACTTGCCCAGGGTCACACAGCTAGTAAGTCTCAAGTGTCTGAGGCTGGATTTGAACTCAGTTCCTCCTGAGTCCAGGGCCGGTGCTCTATCCACTGTACCACCTAGCTTTAAATATAAAGCTAATAGCTTTTAAAAACCATTTTACCTCCAAAAATTAGATTGGTTGACATTTTCTTGTGAAACTCTGCCTCTCTATTCTCATCCTATAATTACTCCACATTATTAGGTTAACAAAACGCATTTTCCTGCCCAAAATGCATGTAGGCTTTTCCCACAAATAAAGAAGTATATGAAAACCACACTAAGGGGAAGCCTGGGTCCAGCTCTACCACTACCTGCTTTAAAAAGTCACAAAACCTCCCAGGGTTTCAATTTCCTAACCTATAATATAAGGATTAAACCAGTGGTTTTCAAGGTGTGTTCCAGGGACCTTTGGGATCCCTGAGACTCTTTCTAGGGGTCTGCATAGTCAAAACTATTTTCACAATAATACTAAAATGTTTAATTTCTAATGTAGCAAGTTATTGATAACATAACTCACATAAACAGAAACTTGGGGAGCAAAGGAGGCCTCAATAATTTTCAAAAGTATTAAAAGGTCCTGAGACAAAAATGGTTGAGAACTGCTAGATTAGACGATCTAAACATCCTTTCCAACCCTAATGTTCTTATGAAAAGTTCTATGAAAGTTGATGTTAAATGTGTTTCTAGCCCTATCACTTGATTTTTCAATATCTACCGCTTGATTTTTCAATATCTATGACCTGATTTTAATTAGCTTTTCCAATTTTTGTAGGTCTCGAGTAAGTATTTTCATGGGTATCCTAGCTATAGCTGTAATGATTTTCTCCAGATGCTTATTGTAAATAGCTTTTAAAGATTATAATATCTTGCTCTCAAGCTATGTTATTACAGCTTCTACATTGTTTTTGTGCTTTAGTCTCATAAAAGCATTTGGAGCTGTAGTCTTTTCCTTGCAGGACTCCATAGGGAAGATGTGGTTTCATCTTGAATGAAGACATGGCTCCAATCTATGCTGTAGTAGTTTGTCATATAGGTAAAGAAAATGGATAATATTGCTAGGTCCCATATTTGACTGAGAATAGTAGAACTTCAGGGTTAGAAAAGACCTCACTGGCCATCTATCTAGTCCAACCTATACACCAAAGAAATCTCCAACATACCTGACAAATGGTAATCCTAGCACTACTTAAATACCTTCAAGGAGAAGGAACCCATGACCTCTTGAGATAGGCCATGGCACATTTAAACAGCTCTAATTTATTAGGAAGCTTTTCCTGAGACCAAACTAAATTTGCAAGCCTCTTTGCCACTTCTACACATTGCCACTGGCTCAACACTTTATTCACCTTGTCTAAAGCAACTCTGGTTAATGTCCTTATGTAGGAAACAAGTATTAACATTGATTAATTAAGATTCTGTTTTTAAGTTCTTTCCTGAAAGGTTTTGATTTAGTAGTTTAGGTAATACCATTCCTTTTAGAATGGCCGTCATTACTGACATTACTTACTTACATTAATTACCTGATTTATTTTCTTAAATAAATAAGGCTGGTTCCTATTAAGTAAGACTCACACAAAGGAGCCTAAGATTTAGAAGGGCCCTTAGGGATTATCTAATCTGACCTGCCTCATTTTATAGATGAGGAAGCTGAAGCGCAGAGTGGTGATGCAGCTTCCTGAGGTCACACAGCTGATAGGTGGAAGAGCCAGGGTTGACATCCAGGTCTTCTGACTCAAACCCAGAGCTCTGGTATGGTTGTTCCTAATATGGGAAACTGTTTGAAGAGAATAGACTATTCCTCTTCCCAGGGGAATGAGCCAGATTTGAGGTTGATTAAGACTAAAAACTTATTTTCTCAATTTTGTAAGGGGCTGCTATAATGTTCAACATGATTGCTTCCCTCAGAGAGCTTATAATCTACTTGGGCAAATACACAAAAAGGTGACTGATACAAGATAGTATATGATAAATGTCATGCAAATCAAATGGTAAAGAGTTAATTCGCTAAGGAAATTCATAGAAGGAAGTGATCATTGTATGCTGGCACGGTTGAAGGTCTGGCAAGACTTCACAAAAGAGTTGGGATCTTAGTTGAACCTTGAAGTATACATTAATTTGGATGAATAGTAAAGAGCTCAGGGTAAGACGTTTCAGTTGTTTGTGTGCATGGGGCAATGGAAGAGCAGCGAGGAGATGGCAAAGTGAGTTCCAGGGAAATTAAGTAGACCACTCTGGCTAAAGGAGAGGATTAATTAAGGGAAATAATGGGAAATAAAATTGGGGCTAGTTGAGGGCATTGAATACCAGGCTATTTTTCCCATTTTGCTTCAAACAGTCATTTAGTTCCTGCATATACAAAAGTTAGTTATTGACTCATGAAAGAAGATCTAAAAAGTCAGCATAGTTAAGAGCTAAAGAATATGAAGCATATAATTCACATATACTTGTAATTCAATTGTCTTATCCCTTATGGATAAGTAGCAATAATTGAAATAAACTGCCCAGATCTCAATTGAAGTAAACAAATGATTACTGTGAACAATAAATTCTAAGATAATGAATGAAACTAATAATTTAGATATAAGCTTGGACAGTACATCTAATAGCATGCAACTGAATTTTAGTTGTCTTTTTTATTAAATCAGAATTTAAAGTGATTGTTTAAATTTTATAGGCTTTAAGGGATTATGGAATTGTTCTTCTTCTCAACGTGGGAGATGACATAAAGGCAAAAACTTTAGTTAATCGTGGCCTGATCTACACAGAACTAAAAATGGTTGCCAATGCGTTAGAGGTAAATGGATCTTGCAAAATTTGCCTATTTGATATTGTATATCTACTTCTGAAGAGTAATGCACGATCTTGTCATAAAATAGCAATATTAAAGAAGATATGGGAATTTAATTATCTTAAGATTGTAATATAATGTGTTGGATATTTTAATGACTACAATAAAAATTGAAATATGTTTATATACATTTAAGAAAAATGTCCACTGAATTTTCAAAATTGGTTGGTGTTTACCTCTTACTTAGTTTAAAGGCATCTTTTCTCTTAGAAGTAATTCAGATATATTGCGGAGAAATGTTAAGGTACAAGTTAAAGTTATCATTAAACCATCTTCAGGGTCTCAATTTCACAATACATTTGAATTAAGAGTTTTTATTACCTTACTCATTTGCTAAAATAACTATTTCCAAATGAAATATATTTAAGATAGATTGAAGATGCCCATATATATGACTTCTTTTAGATTGTGAACCTAATGACAAAGACACTAAATTAATTCTTTATTGCTTATCTATAACAATATGCTCTAGGTACTTAATATTCCAATACATCAATGGATTTGTGATTTCATCAATGTGAGTGTTGTTTCAATGATAGACACTTCAACACATCCTTGTCTCCCCATCTTATATGACTCTCATCTTTGTCCTCCCATAGGGGGATATCTTTGTCCCATCACAGGAGATCCACTCCATATGTTGAGAACAAAAAAAGAAACAAATGCCAAAATTTATTTTTATCAAAACAAAGTTTGTTTTTAAACTCAATTAGATTAGAAATATTATATCCATGGTGGAAAGCTTCTCGAAAGGTAAAAAGGAGAGAATAGCATATTTGGAATACAAAAATTCTGAAGGAAATTCTGGCAGAAGAGAAATAAATTAATGTTAAAAGAACATACAATCTTTATATAAGCCAAAGCTACTGATCTTGAAGGCAGGATGCTAAAAGATGATTTAAGAATCATACGTCTCCCAGAAGTGCATGACAAATAAAAAAAAACTGAATGCCATAATGCAGGAAATAATACAACAAAATTGATCTGAATACAGAAAACAAAGCACCACGAAAGAATCCACAGATCACCTTTGGGGAAAAAAGGAAAAGAAAAAAAACCTGAGCTTTGAATTTCAAGATAAATAGTGGTCAAATCAAGCAATTCCACTGACAAACAACAAATTCTACAAGCAGCTAAAAGTAGGACTTTCAAATATAAAGAGAAGGTAATTTGAATATATATAAACCCACTAGAAATCAAAGAAAGGAATGGGATACAGTATTCTGAAAAACAAGGGAGTTTAAGATACAACCTAAATGACATGACCTGAAAACCAGAGTCTGATAATCAATGAAAAAAGATGAATGCTCAATAAAAGGCATTTGAAGAATTTCTGAAGGGAAAAAAGGCAAGAAAAAGCAAAATATTATGCCTGCAGACTAAATAACCAAAATACAGGAAAGGTAAATAAGCATAATTACCAAAGAAAGAATCAGAAATTATATAATTACAGTCATGTTTAGAGGATTTGTTAAAGAAAGAGACTGACCTACAGAGTGAGAAAAAAAGTGCAACATTAAGAGATAAAAGGGGAGATAAAGATGTAGGCAGAACACAAGGAAATAGAAGCGAAAGCAAAAGAGCAGATCTAAAGCACCATGAACTAACTCCACATCCTCTACAGGTGAATTGATGTGTTTTGTGGGATAAAATTGCAGAGTTAAAGGTACATAAGGGAAGGAGAGGTGAAGGAGAACTGAGGTAACCTTATCAAGTCCATGGATGAAGAAGTGAAGAGAAGACAACTCTATTTATAGCCTTCTAACAAAAGGAAGGACTGCAAGCCAATGGCAGAGGCGATGGAAAAAAGAATGAAATTTTGGACATGAAACTGGGTGGGTCCCATGGAAGAAGAGATGTTTACCTGCACTGGGAGACATGGAATATTAATGGGTTTAATCTGAGAGGAGCTGAAAGACCACCATCTGAGACAAGGTTGTGACTCCATGTATGTGCGTCCCTTAGGAAAAAGCATGATTTGGAGCACAGCATAATTTCTATCATGGCTCACAGCTTCTATTCACATTTCTTCCTTCATGAATTGAGACTTCAAAGAGAGAAAGGGAGGACAATGGAAAGAAGTGATATAAAAGAATTAACATGGAAATTGGTAAACTCAGAAAGTTTAACTTCATGAAGAAGACAAAAAGTTAAAAGAAGGAATAAATAAGATACAGATTACAAATAAGAAAATAAAATTTCAGAATTTACAGGAGGGGAAGAGATTTATTAAAGACAGCAAAAAAACTCAGGAAAAAGGATAAAAAACTACAAAAATTTATCTGAAGAAACAAAAGATCTAGAATATCAAGGGAAATAATGAAAAAAAGGTAGAAATGAAGATGGAATAGCATTTTCAGACTTCAAACTATATAGCATTTCTAGACTTCAAATAATCAAGTTTGGCCTCAAAGAAATATGAAAAGTGTATCTTCTTTACATAGTTGGAATAATATAGGAGTGGAACACTGAAAATAGTCTCAGACTTTTTAATTATGTGTATTAAATTTGTGGAATACGCTTTCCCCCTCTTTTCTTACTCTTTATTATAAATGATGGCTCTCTAATGAGGGTAGAATGGGGATATAATGAAAGTATAAATAGTGTAATAGCAAAAGTCATCAATAAAAATTTACACTAAAATATTCAATAAAAGTTTTCATCTTTATGGCAGGTGGAAAAAATACAAGATCTCTATGTTTATTGTCTGATAATTACAAAAACACATTTGATTCAAGGAAGCAAAATGTATCCTCATGCTTTTCTTTCAAGGAATCTCTTATGCATATATTACAATGACCCAAGACTCCCCAATAAATACAACCACAGCAATCGCTATTTAATGACCCTCTTTTTAATGCCATGTTACATAAAAAAGATGTCTGACCCCAAAAGGTTTTCAGCATTACCATGAAAGATGTCTTATGCAAGGTACAATTTGGAGTAGGATTCTCTAGAGATAGCGAGACACTCTAGATTTGTAAATTATCCTAGCAACCACCAGAAAATTAGAGGACCTCCTCAATGAGAGGACCATGACTATTCAAAATAGATTGATCTAAAAATCTATGTATACAAAATAAAATAGATGAAAAATGCCTAATGTCTCAACTATGCCATACAGTTGGATGGCCAGTCAATGAGTTGGTACATCGATGTGTGTAGCTGCGACAGGCTCTGCATGTGGACAATGAGTTAGTTCCTGAATTAGATAAGAGGAAGAGAGTAGGCTTCATTGTGTTAAGGAAATTTTTCAGTGTTTTTGTGATCCCAAGCTGTCCTCCAGTCAAAAGACCCCCCTTTTCAATACTGTAGTCACTCTGGCAAAGCTATATGGTTGTGAAACTTGGAACACCACATTCTCTAGCACAGGGGTCCATAGGTAGATTTCAAGAGGTCCACAAACTTGGATAGGGAAAAAGTACATCTTTATTTTCACTAACCAACCTCTAACTAAAATTTACCACTTCAACTACAAATTTATTCAAAAAACATTCTTCTCAGAAGGAGTCATTGGCTTTACCATACTGCCAAAGGGGTCCACAACACAAAAAAAATGCTAAGAAACTCTGCTTTAAGTTCACCAACAGACAATGAAGAGTTCACGGTGGGCTCTAATAGACTGTAACAATTTTCCAATGACATTCTATGCTCAAAAGTGGTATGAAGGACAATATTGAAGAAATGCATCATCAGAAAAGGAGATTCACTGTTCATATGGTTCAATAGATGAACAACACAAGGGCTTCAATGGTACCCACAAAAGGTCAAAAGATTGAGAAGAAAGTCATTAGCATGTTCTCTAGATTTTCTGTAGAACATGGATTACACAGCATAAGAAGACATGGATAGGTTTTAATAAAGAAAATTCCCAAGACTGCTAAAATATTTAAATTTACTTAATTTTTATTATTTATTCTTTATTTAAATTCAAATATGCTAAATATTTTCACTATTGAATCAGGAATTTAAAATTGTAATTCCATAGGAAAGTGTATATGCATGGTACATGCAGGTAATTAAAGTAATGTTGCAAAAAATAACGAAAACATGTAAAATCTTTTCAGGATTTTAGGGAAGCAATGCAGATAAATAAAAATGATGCTAGCCTGTTTCAAGCTGCTGGAATTTGCCATCACAGGTAATCAAAGTGATTTGTGTTAAAATAGAAAGTGAAATTAGCCAATATACCTAATGATATTACAATTCTGTTTGTATATAAGTTGGGAAATATAGAAAAGGATAAAATGGATTGAGAGTGGCAAAATACAAAAAAAAGTTACAAAGCAATGTCTAGAAATGCCAAGAAAGAAATGTCTCTAATACCTACGGTTCAAGGCCCTAATGAAGCAAATTCTGGATTCTGTTGCTTTATCTGTTTTAGTGACATGTGATTTCATCATCACTGACCTTATAAATAGACCTAGAGGTGCCTATCTGGATTAGTGGATGGTGCTTCACATCACTGCTCCTTGGTGTTATCATCCTTTGACACCCAGCTCTAGAAAGCTGGCTTTAGGTAACTGAATCAACAAATTGCCTGTTAGTAAGTTAACATTGAAGATATTTTAACTGATTCAAAAGAATAGTTAATGTACTTGGGCTAGTAGAGAAGAGGCAGGGGGAAGGGAATAAGCATTTATATGGCATTTATTACATACCAGGAACCCTGCTAAGCACTTTACAAACACTATCTCATTTAGTGCTCACAAGAACTCAAGAGATAGTGTTGTTATTAACCCCATTTAACAGTTGAGGAAACTGAGGCAGAGAGCAGTTAAGTGACTTGCCCTTAGTCACACAGCTGGGCCCTCAGATAACAGAATTTGAGGCCACATTCAAACTCAGGTCTTCCTGACTCCAAGTTCAGCCCTCTATCCACTTAGCCACCTAGCTGCCTCATGCACAATTCCATTATGTATAGTTTGAGATACGCATGAAATTCTTTTTATCTTATTGCTTCATTCATTGATTCAGATAACAAATATTTATTTAATATCAAATACACATAAAGCATAGATGTGATGAACATTGATATTAAAATAGAAGATGACTTTTTAAATCCAGAGATTAGAAGACATAATTATTTTTAGCAAAACTAGATATTACTTTTTAATCTTTTTGAAATTAATTTTAATCTTAAAAACTTTTTAAATGACAAGGAAAGGTTTTTAAATATCAAGCTGAACTTATATCATTTTTGTGCTAAGTATTTTTTCTTTACTTTTAGGCATATCATAAATTCAATTGATTTGTGAGTTAATTAAAATAAGTATATAGAATAACATGACAAATGAACTTGAATGAAAGTTAATAGAAAATATCAGGTCAACTCTCTATGATACGTAGTTTTTCTTTTGTTTTATAAGAATCATCAGCTTATCGTACATTTTGATATGGTTTAGTCACAAGACAACTTTCTGATATTTTTAGTTTTCTAAAAATAAGATTTGATCTTCTCAAGTTAATTAGTCCCCACTTAAGTTTTAAAAGTATAGAAGAAATTCCATACTTTGAAAGAGTATTTTTCTTTCTCTACACCACTCCTTCCCCAAATTAAACAGTAATTCTGTAATACTCCATATTCATCAACAGTTATGGAAAAATGAAAAGGTAAAAATTGTCTTTTTTTTCACTTTACATAACTGTTAGGATTTTAGAGCAAAGGTGTCAAACACTGTGGGCAGCAAACCCAATTAAAATGTAATTGGGAAATATTTGGCAAAATAGACAAAAATACAACATAATGTTAAAATGTGATTTTCCAAGTCAATATACAGCCCACAGGCATCCTTATGTACAGCTTAGTAGCCTTGTTTATATTTCAGTTTGACACCACTAATTTAGAGGAAACAATCCAGAGTTGAGACCATAATTATACAGGGGAGGTTAGGTAACTGTGACATTTATAGAATAAAAGAGTTTGAATAATTTAGGAAGTCAAAGCCAATTGTCTTCACTTCTTAATAAGTAATAAAAATAAACTACAATTATATAATACTTTAAAAATTATTCTTTACCCTGGTGGAACATGGTCACAAAATACCTTTTTAAATAAGAGGTTAAGGTTGCTCTTTGTTATATGACTAAATCTGTTTCAAAATATTAGATACATGAGAGTTAAACAAATTTGTGATTTCTTAACAATATTCTTTTTTTTATTTTAAAGTGAAAACAAATGTTCATTTTACAAAGTTTAGAGTTCCTAGGATACCACATTTTTGTTTTATTTAAAGAATGAACACATTCCGGTTTATATCTCCAAATTTCAGTAAGGCCAGTGTTTCCAGAGCCTTCTTATTTTTCTGTTATACATTTCAAGTGGTGGAAGAGGATAAGGAAATGGAATGAACAAGTAAAGTGTACAATGAGATCTTTGTTCTAACAGGCCAATGGTTTGCTTGAGTGAGGTCTTCTATCCTGACCATAGATATTAATAGAGTCTGCAAAGGTTTTCTTTTTTTTCCTGAAAGGAGCCTCCAAAAGCATTTAATTCCCTTAACTATGGAAAAAAAGAAACAGCATTTATTATATGCCTAGGCATAGCTAGGCAGTGTGTTAAGCACTTTATAAATATTTTCTCATTTGATTCTCACAACAACTCTGCGAGGAAGGTACTATTATTATACCCACTTTCCATTGAGGATACTGAAAGCAGACAGAAGTTAAGTAACTTGCCCAAAGGTCACATGGCTAGTAAGAGTCTGGGGTGGAAGTATAACATTTTCTGCATGGTTCCTTACTCATTTTGGCTATACACTAATATAATATATATCATTTAGGTTGAGTTAGTTTATGCAAATCTGTGGTTTTATAAACATTTGAGCATAAAGTATTAGGGGGAAAACACACTTTAAAAAATGATATCAAAATAAGGGCTTCAAAAGCTTTAGGGGTAGTAGATTTAGAACTGAAAGGGACCTTAAAAGATATCTAGTTCAATTCTCTCATTTTTTAGATGAGAAAACTGAGACCCAGAGAAGTTGCAATTCGCCCAGCGTCACGCCATCACTGGTTTGCATGTTAATTCATCCAGGAATAGTTTGGGATTGGGGGATAAACTTTTAACTTGATAATTAGTGAATGTTACTGGTGAGTTCTTCTACCCCAAGTGAAATGAGTCATCTCCATTTCCCTTTTTCCCGCAATCAACTATATTGCTTTCTAATCATCTTTGTGTAATCTTTACCATTATAAAACTCAAAACTGGGTATTGTTAAATACAGCTGCAATCATGAGCACAGAATTCAGTTTGGGATCTATATATAGAGGAAGCTAAAGTGACTGAAGCGACTACGTTGTCAAAAAGGGGAGACCTGACGATTCCTCTTTCAAAAACCCTTTCTCATATTTAGCAGCTGTTTTGATCTGGAGATTTTTTGTATAGATCTGACCAGACTCTTTTTTACTGAAATGTAGTTACAGCCATATAATAAAATGTCTTGAAGCTGGTGTTGCTTTGCAATTGCTAGTCTAGATTCTCCATCATTAAAAATAAGGTATTCTAAATTCCTAAATTTAGCATGGTGTCTGGTACATGATGGGTGCTTAATAAATGCTAATTGATTGATGGATTGAAATTCAGGTAAAAATCCATTTTTGAAAATTTTACAAAAAGTATTTGATAATTGTTAGTATCAATGATCTGTAACACTGTTCTCTTCACTCACGCCCCGAGTCCATCTCTACTTTTTGTTACAAAGAAATAATGTGATACAAAAGAAGGAATACTGAACTGATGACCATGAAATCTTAGTTCTAGTTTTGACTATGCCACTAACTAGCTTTGTGACAAGGCAGTTATCCTCTCTAGGTTCAATTTATTTCATCCCTAAAATAAATAGGTTGTGATAAATGCTCCCCAAGATTCTGTCCAATTCTAAAATTCTCTAAATAAAGATTTGTTCAATATATTCTTCACATAATAGGTGCTCAATAAATACTACTGACTCCAGTAAGTAATCAGTTTAATAGGAACTAACTGTGCTTCAGCTTGCCATTTTTCTGTGATATACCAGACAGAAAACAAGATTGTGGTTAGCAGTTCTTTACTTATTGATAGAACTAGTTACAGTAAGTACAAAGATCTGACCCATAAGCACATTTCTAAAAGGAAAACATAAAGAGTATGTTTTATAAAGAATTCTTCAAATTATGCCTTGAGATTTTTTTCTGCAATAATAATAATAAAGTGAAATTATAAGATGCATTGTGGACTGCTGTTTCTCAAATAATGCCAAATTGTGTATGGAAGGTGAGCATGATTTTAAGCTGCATGACAGTACTGGTCATGCCTGTTCTTTGTCCCTTGCCCACAACCAGAATTCAACACATGTGTCAGATGCTGCCAATCTGAAATCTCAAGGGACAAGTTATATTAATTGTGACTTTGCAATTGACTTCCTGTGTGACCTTTTTGCAATGCACTTGATCTTCTAATTGGGACTAGTCAAAAGTTTTCCCATCAGGGACTACCATACCTATCACTTAGGCATCACTCAAAATTTTCTTTCAGGGAGACACTGGGAATGTGGTGATAATTATAGGAATTTGTACTCCATTGTGCCATGACATGAAAAAATGCCATAATGTGAAGTACCAACATCTACTAACTCCTCTGCCACTGACTTTCACTTAAATCCAATTCACTTGCATGTCACAGAATCACCTCCGTGATGTCATGGTCCTCTTCAAGAATGAAGGCCAAACAACAACAACAACACAAATAAGGTACCAATATGAGGAGTGTAGTAGAGATAAGAGTAATTTCAGGTAACAGCCACACTGAAATCCATCAAACTACCTAGGAAACTGAAAGGGAATTAGGAGGCCCTGTCTGTTAAAAAAAAATGGATTAGAATAGTAATTTACCTCCTAAGATTCGTATCAATTTTTTTTAAATGAAGGGTATTTTAAAAGGCCAACAAATAACAGTGTCAAAATGGTGTGGTTCTGGGGCGGGGGGAGCGTAGAAAGAGACTGAAAAATAAAATGTCCATGCTACAAATTTATTTTCAGACTGGGAGAGTTTGAAGAAGCTGTGTATTCATTCACTCGTGTCATTGAACTCAATCCTTTTTTTGTGGATGCATATGTTGGTCGGGGAAATTCTTATATGGAATATGGTCATGAAGCAGCTGAGAAACAAGCACAAAAGGACTTTATAAAAGCCTTACACTTTAATCCAGCATACCCAAAAGCCAGAATTAGCTTTGGATATAATTTACAGGTAATTACACCAAAGGATACTTATTCATTAAACTTTTTCACTGTATATGACTACAAACAATGTATAGTAAATGTTTTTTCTTTGGTTATGAAAGACTTACCATTTCCTTAACACACACACACACACACACACACACACACACACACACACACATATATATATATATATATGTATGTATGTATATTGATAGTAAAGGATCATAAATTAGTGGCTTAGTATTCTCATGGCACCTAAGAACCAGTAGCCTCAGAACCAGTTGCCTTAAATTCAAGCCTGGTTCTCATGAAACTGAATTTTCTTTCCTTGGCTTTTTCAGTTCTTTGTTGTTGTTTAGTTTCTTTTTTAAGTCAGCCCTTTTATCCCTACAAACAAAGGATATTTATGTCATATAAAAGAAGCTTGATAATTTTCATTTTCTAAGCCCTTGCTTCTACAGGTTAAATCAGACTAGAATTTTAATGTTTTAATATCAATTGGAAAGGGGATCTCTAATGGAGTGTCCCAGGAACTTGTGTTTAACCTGGAGCTGTTCAGTATTTTTTAAAATCACTGATAGGCTTTTGAGTTTTAAATTTTTCTCCCCCTTCCTCCCCAAGACTGCGCACAATCTGATATTGGCCATGTATATACATTCCTATTAAACATATTTTCACATTAGTGATGTTTAAAGTAAGAATTAGGTGGAATTACCAGAAAGAGGAAACAAAACACAACAGAAGAAAAAAATAGCAAATAGTATGCTTCAATCTGCATTCAAACTCCATAGTACTTTCTCTGGAAGTGGGTAGCATTTTCCATCATGAGGTCTTTGGAATTGTCTTAGATTCTTGTATTGCTGAGAAGGGTTAAGTCTGTCAATATTAGTCATCACACAATGTGGCTGTTACTGTTAAATTAATAAATTAAATTAATAAAAAAGGGGAAAAAATAAGAAGAGTCCCCTTTTTTTTTATTGCTGGCTTTACTGAGGTTGCCAGTCTACCCACTTGGTTAACAGTTTTATGCGTTATAGTTTATATATGGATTTTGGTCAGAAAAAAAATCACTGATAAGTTGGCATACTTATCAAATTTGCAGATTATAAATCTGCAATACATATTTATTTATATATTTTATTATTATATTAAATGTATACTTATGTGTAAATCTGCAATATTTAACATTTTGCATGATAGAATCAGGGTCCAAAAAGAACTTGAAAAGCTAGAACTATGGAATAAGATGAAAGTTAATAGAGATTGTTATGTTGCAGTTAAAAAGAAAAAAAAATCAGCCCCGTTCCCCCAAGACAAGAAGAGTCAGGGCTGGAGAGTTCACCTGAAAAATCTCTGAGTTTATATGGAGTTTTCATTGTTAATATTCTGATATGGCAGCCAGAAGAAGCAATCAAGAAGCATTTATTAAGTGCTCACTATATGTAAAGCACTGTTAGGAGCTGACAGTTAACAATAACAAAGGTGAAACTGTATCTGCCCTCAAGAAGCTTACAATCTATGGATGAAATAGCATGTAAACTTACAAGTATATACAGAATATATATAAAATTAATACAAGGTAGTTTGAGGAAGAAGGGCACTCTTCAAGCTATGTGTAGATGTATAATTTTATCATCATTTTTCTTCTCTTCAACTTTTTTCTTTCAAAGCATACATTTGAAACATTGTGTTATTATCCCAGTAATAATATTGAAGGGTTTTTTCTTCACCTAGTGTCTGGGATTTTAAAATATTATCCAAAGGCATTTGTGTAAATGGAAATTATACAACAAAATTTATTTTAATTGATTCAAATTTTAACACATTTTCAGATGTGATCAGTCAATTTAATTCACTTATTCTTTGAATTGTTTAGTCTCGTCTAAAAAGATAGGGTAAAATTATACCCCAAATATCTTCAATTTATATATATATATATGTATATATATACATCTTATTTGTTAAAATTTTTATTTGATTAAGGTAGAATTATAATCATTTATACTAGAATATTTGGTTTGTTTTCTTATTAAGGACTATTTCTCAGCATATTTGTATGACATATCATTCCAGGCTCGAGGAAAATTCCAAAAAGCTTGGAATCACTTTACCATTTGTGTGGATATCGATCCAAGAAACTGCCAGGCATATGAAGGGAGAGGAATAGTCTGTCTTCAGATGGGAGATAATTTTGCTGCTATTCAAGATTTAAATTCTGCTCTAAAGGTAAAATAAGAACACAAAAATGCATTAGTGTAGATTTGAGGGGACAAGGTTGGGTGACAGAAATAGTGGGGAAAGGGTTTAAGCAGAAGAACTTTCATGTTTCTGTTCTCACATAATCACCACCCTAGTTTGGGCTCTAATCACCTCTCATCTGGACTACTGTAATAGCTTTCTAATTATTCTCCTCGTTTCCAGTCTCTCCCCTCTGCAATCCACTCTCTCCAAAGCTGCCAAAATAATCTTCCCAAAACACAGACCTGTCTTACTTTGTCATTACCCTGCTCAAGAATATGATCTAGATCCCTACTGCTTCTAAGATAAAACATAGATGTTTCAACTGAGTAACTAAAATCCTTCGCAATCAGGCTATTTTTCAGACTTTTTTTAATCACTTTTTTCATTCATGCTATATCCCAGCCAAACTGGCCTATTTGCTATTTCCATACTACATCATTCCTTCACAAGCCGCTATACCTGTGTGTAGATATAATAATAATCATAATTTTGTGCCAGGACCAACAAATTTTTAACTACTATGATGCTTTCCCATGATGTCATTTTGGTCCTCTTTGAGAATGAAAAACAACCAACCAAACATTCTCTGTAGTTTCTATGACCCCTTCTTATGTGTAAGAGGATGTGGTTTTGCTTTTTAGGATTTTATAACTGTGAATACTATCCTTTCTCCCTTTGAATTAATATTGCCTGTTGTAGAATATATAGCCATATTAATAAATAAGACCTTTCCCCATTAATAGACTTGTTGTGAGTTAGAAGTTTATTCACTCATCCCTATGGAATCTAGTTTAGTATTTCACATGAAAAATACCAAGGGAAAAAAAAAACATAAAGACCTTCATAAGACCTTTGGTTCCTCAAAGCCATTCTCCTGGTACTTGTTGATAATTGGTATATATCCTGGAAGGCAACACCATCTTCCCAGTCCCTCAGGCTCACAACCTAGGAGTCATTCTCAACACCTCACTATCTCTCACCTCCCTATATCTAATTTGTTACGAAAGCTTATTGATTTCATCTTTGCAGCATCCCTCCAACAAGCCTTCTTCTTCCTCGGACATTGCCACCACTTTGGTGCAGGTTTTCATTACCTCATGCCTGAACTATTGCATGCCTGCTGGTGGGTCTGCCTGCCTCAAGTCTCTCCCCACTCCAATCCACCCTCCATTCAGCCACTAAAGTGATTTTCCCAAATTCCAACCATGTCACCCACCCACCCCTACTCAATAAACTCCAGTCTCTACCACCTCCAAGATCAAATACAAAATCTTCCATTTGGTGTCAAAGTCCTGTATAACCTAGCCCTCTCCTACCTTTCCTGTCTTCTTACACCTTACTTTCCACCACACACTCTTCTCTTCAGTACAGACACTGGCCTCCTGGCTATTCAATGAACAAGACACTGCATCTCTTGATTCTCAGCATTTTCTCTGATTGTCTCTTATACCTTGAATTTTCTCCCTCCTCATCTCCACCAACTTCCTTTAACTAACTAAAATCCCATCTTTTACAGGAAGCCTTTCCCAACCCCTCTTAATTTTAGTGCCTTCCCTCTCTTTTCTCATTCCCATTTATCCTGTATATAGCTTGTTTCTTACATATTTGTTTTGTCTTGTCTCCCCCATTAAATTGTGAGCTTCTTGAGGGCAGAGACTGTCTTTTGCCTCTTTTTTGGATTCCCAGAGTTTAACACAGTGTCTGACACATATTAGGTGATTAATAAATGTTTATTGACTAGGACTGACTATCCCTTATGTTATTGCCCTTTCTTACTGCTTTCACCCCATAAAACAAGCTATCTCTCCCTCTTTGCTCAATAATAACCTCATAAATAAATTTTCCACTGGGCCCAAGTTGTCTGTCCCATAGTTCCTTGTATGATAGAAAAGACTCTCCATGTTTCTCTCATTAGTTAGCCAAGAGTTATCAAAGAACATTACAGTGCCATACTATTATCTGCTCTCCGCTTTTCCCAACCCAACCAATCAACACTCTAAGATCCCAAATTGTATGTTTTGAAGCAGAGGTAACAGACAATACTGATCACCATCCTGGAATCCTCCCAAAAAAGAGAGCATCTCTAACAAATATCAGAGATGGGGTTTTCCTATACAAAAATAGAAAGCTAAGAATCTATCACTGGAGCTCCCACATCCTCACCCCAATTTAAATATAAATTTTGAAACCCATGGTAACCAACTCCCATCTCTAGCTAACTATAAAGAATACCTTAAATAAATCGCCTTTGGACAAGTAAGTCTTATACGTGGATCTCCTTTTCCTTACCCCCATGTTGATGCAAGGTTACCATATTTTATGTTTAGAGAGGCATTTGCCACCAAATGAAAAAAATAAAATAAAATGGGAAGAGCAAAACAGATTAAGTGTCCTCTTTTTCTTTTCAAATTCCTCAAACTCGAGCAGCCCTCATGCCAGTTGCTTCAGTGAGAAGCCCTAACCTAGCATTCTCTTCTCACCTCCCCTTGTTAGAATCCCTAGCTTATGTAAAGGTGAGGCTCCATTGACCAACTTCATCTCACTTCTATTTAAAAATAAAAACCCTTATTAAAAACTTTTAGGTTAGAATCCTTCTTAATGGAATCAATCAATCAGAACCAAGTGTGGACTCCTGATGAAAAATGTTATCCACTTCCAGAGAAAGAACTAACAGAGTCTGAATGCAGATCGAGGCATACTATTTTTCACTTTACTTTTTTCACAGTTTTTTTTTCTTTTAGTCTGTTTCTTCATTCACAACATGACTAATATGGAAATATGTTTTACATGGTTGTACATATATAACCTATATAAAATTGCTTACTGCCTTAGGGAAGTGGGAGGTGAGGATAGGAAGAAGGAAATTTGGAACTCAAAAAAATTTAAATGAGTGTTAAAAATTGTCTTTACATGTATTTGGCAAAACTGAAATTATATATACATATGTGTATGTAAATGTATACATATATATATCATATAAATAAATATAGAATTTAATTGTCCAAGGGGGGAAAAGAATTAAGTGTGAACAAGGCCTGTATACAGTGGTGTGCTGGTAAATATTTAACAACTGGTTCTCCAAAAAAAAATGTTCTTACATTTTACATTTTTAAGTTTAATCTTCATTAACACTTTTCTCCATCACTTCTTATCTATAAAATCAGCAAAAATAAGCCAAGTCTTGATTTTCCAAGGTATAAATGCTCACACTGAAAGTTTAACAATTAGAGTAGATATGAGCTGGTCCCAGCACACCCCTGCCCCCTGAAATAAATCAAAGGCTTTTGGTAAGGGTCTTGTTCACACCTAGTTCTGATGTAAGTGGGTGTAAAGTAGTGTTTGAGTTTATTGCTTAGCAGGTGAGATAAGGATTGAAATCTGACTGGAATTCTGGGATTTGGAGAGAGAAAGGAAATTGAGATAAGAGGGAGAGGGAAGGAAGAGAAGAAGGGAAGAAAGAACATTTTCTGCCTATCCAAAGAGGGACTGGAATTACCAGTCTTGGAGTTGGGAGAAGTGGACTTCCCATAGTAACTAGAAACTTTGAACTTGTCTGCAGATGAGGAAGGCAGTCTGTGTAGAGACTTAAGGGTAACAGGGTCACCTCACAGCAAGATTCTCCTTTATGTATCAGCTCAGACTGAACCTTTGGAGGGGGGCGATTGTCATTTTAGAACTGAGGAAAGCTGTGGGAAAGGTTTTATTCTCTCCAATTCTCTCCTCCCCATTCCTGTGCTTTTATGTTACTTTTCTCAGTATTCCTTTAAACTATTTAACCTATTCTGTTTAGTATAAAATCCATGACTGATCATGAATCGTGATCATGTACTGCATGTCTGTATATTTTTTTTCTATGTGATAAAAGGGGAAATGGATGTCAGTGACTAACTGGGCTACATAGAATTTTAAAAATAGGTCAGAAAATGAGAACCAGAATCTGTTTCTGACCTGGAAACTATAGAACTATATTCATGAGAGGATTTTGTAGTGATTCTTTTTATTAATAAATTGTATCTTTAAACTCTCTGAATTGGTCCATTGAAGTCCTAGGCTAATGAGCAAGTTATTGTTTTAGCCGGATGAGGCTGCTCAGATTATAGGTGCATTAAACAAATCTCCAACCTCTGATACCATGAGACAGAGAGAGTTTGAGGGGAACCATAAGGAAGCGCATGCCCCCAGGTACACCTAGTAAGCAGAGAAAAGTGTGATCTGGGATGAATCATCTCCTCAAATTCTTATAAAAGGAAGGAATCGGTCCACATTTATTAAGTATCTGCTATGCGTGAGGCACTGTACTAAACCAGGAAAGGCAAACTAGGATTAAGAAGAGAGTGCCAAGCCAATTTTGCTCCACAGTGACACCTTCTGGTTACACTAACATGTACTCTAGATTGGGAAATGCAGTCATGAAAGGATTCACATGTAGGGCATGGTAGGTACCACGGACTAAATTGCAATGAAGTTAGTCAATTCGGAATGTGAACCTTTCAAGAATGAGTTTCTAAAGACACGAAGAAAAATAACACACATGAAGAGAAAACTGAGGAGACCCCTTGTCTAAAGACACCTATATGGATGCACAGAGACTCCAGACCAGCTTGGATTTTAAAAAGACATGTACATAAGATGAAAGAAGGGATGGTAAAAGAGAATAAAACATTACAATCCCGTAAAAATGGTATTATGAGGAAATATAACATGGAATGAACTGAAGCTAATGAGGACAGCTAGCAGTAACAACAAAAGGGTTTGGGGGGGTTGTTTGTTTTGTTTTGTTTTTTTAAGTACTATGTTGGGGAAAATAGGAGGATAAAATTAGGACCATTACTTGGGGTGGATGGGATGATGACAGAGAAGATGAAGCTGAACATCAGCTTTTAACTTCATTTTCTCTCTGCCACATAGAATGATCTTTGGAGTGGAAAGAACAGAACAAAAATTATAAATGTGGAAGTGAAACCCAAGAAAAAGGGCAAGCAAGCTAGCAAGGTAGAACTTAGCTGCCCCTGATGAATTCAAATTACCAGAGCAACTCGAACAACATCCCGGGTTGTGCAGATAAATATTTAACGTCGAAGTGGGGGGGAAAATGTACCGAGGACTGACATACTTTCTGCATTGTTAATCTTTTCTTCATCACTTTAAGTCCAGGCAATCAACAAAACAAATAAAGCCCTGATTTGTGGCATTTGCTGATTTCCAAGGTGTAAATGTTCACACTAAAAATTTAACAGTTAGTTCTCTGGCTCCAGCACACCCCTGAGTCTACATCCCAGGGTTCTAAAATAATTCTATAATTATTATGCCACTGTTGGTGATCTTTGAGAAATAGTAGCAATATTGAGAAATAGAAAATGTAGTAGCAATTTTCCCCAAAAAGGAAATGATGTCCTCAAAATATAGGACAATGATCTTGACCTTGACTCCTGGCAAAATTCTAATATACATATTTATTTATTTGGCAAGGCAATCTGGCTTAAGTCACTTTCCCAGGGTCACACAAGTGACATCAAGAGTCTGAGGCAGGATTTGAACTCAGGTCCTCCTGACTCCAGGGATGGTGCTCTATCCACTGAGCTACCTAGCTGTCCCTATTATATATTATTAAAGGGTAGTTAGTGAAGATCTTGGAAAGGAAAATTTATATCTATAGCTATATCTATATATCTACACATATATTTCTATATCTATATACATATAAACACACATATGTACATGTGTATGTGTGTGTGTGTATTCCACTAAGAATTGGTCATCCCAGACTAACTTCTTTTTTTATATGGAATTACTCAGATAAATTTGGTGAAATACTCAGATAAAAATGGTTATTCAGATAAATTTGAAATATTCAACAAAACCTCTCACATCATTTATCTGAACAAGATGGAGAGATATGGACTAAACTATTGTCTATAGTATATAATTAGGTGTAGAGTTCTGGCTGGCCAGCAGCTCATCTGAAAAAGATCTGAAGATTTTAATGAACTGCAAGCTTAGTTTGAGTCAGTAGTAGGATTTGGCAACTTGGAAGGCTAATCCACTTTGCTTCTGTTGCCCTGCCTGGTTTCAACTCCAGGGAATAAGATGCTCCTCCTAGAATAAGTTCATCACTTCTAAACTCACCAGCATGCTGCTAACTGTAGCCTTGATGGACACCACCTCCCTCAGCCTCCTCTCCTCTCTGATTAGAGGACTGGAGGGTGGAATAACAAACTCTTCCCAATGCCTTTCTCTACAGAGGGCATAAACTGGACTCTCACCTCACTCCACTCTGCATCTGCTGCCCTGCCTGGTCTAAATGGAACAAGATGCCCCTATATTGGTTACCCCCTGGTGTCCTGTTCCCCTCCCCACCCCAACCCACCTCCTTTGGTGTGTTGTCTCCCCCTTTAGATTGTAAGCTCATTGAAGGTAGAGACTTTCTCTTTATTAATTGTATCCCCAGTGCTTAGCACAGTGCCTGGCACATAGCAGGTATTTGATAAATGTTTATTGGATTGGATATAGTGTTAGATTCCAATAAAAGAGGTTTAGCTTTCATAAAGAGGAGGTAATAATAGTCCCATTGCGCTCTGCCCTAGTCAGACCAAATCTGAAGGTTCTATTCCAGGCACCACTTTTTCAGAAAAACAAACAGGAGAACATCCAGAAAAGGCATTATGAACAATGTGAGGGTATTTTAGCTCAGAAAAGAGAAGATTTAGGGGAAAGATGATACCTGTCTTCAAAGATATGTGGTGCCATTTGACTTGACACCAGAGAGTAGAACCAAGAGGAGTGAGCAGAAATTTTGAAGGCGAATTTAAGCTTAATGTGAGGGGAAACTTCTTAAGAGAGCTCTTCAAAAGTGGAATTGACTAGCTCAGGTGGTCATCAGTTCCCCCTCACTAGAATTCTTTGAATAAATGCTAGAACACTTGTTCCTACAATTTTACTGCCTATTTCCTATAATTTTACTGCTTAGTCATCTTTTTTTTTTACTCTCTCCCAGGGATTGTTTTCACGAAGGATGAAAGGTTGAAAGGGTGAAAATGTCATTCTTTAATGTGAAATACTCCTACTGTTGTCTTTCAGATCACTACTTCTGCAGAATTTTTAACAAATCGTGGTGTGATTCACGAATTTATGGGTGAACGGCATATTGCCATGAAGGACTATCAGGCTGCACTTTCTATAAACTCTAAGTATTCTCTGGCTTACTTTAATGCAGGAAATATTTATTTACACCACAGGCAATTTTCCCAGGTAAGATGGTCATTACCTCACCACCCCCATACCCCCAAAACAACTATTTTCTTATCAGAGATGGATTCACTCCTTAGCCAATCCACTTTTTCAATGTTATTTCACATGACACTCTTCCAAAGGCAGAGAATTTTTATAAGACAAAGACAAGAACCTATTTGATAAGGGTGGGTGTTCCATTTTTTTCATACACTGACTTCTATATTTCTGTTAATGATAACATTTCTTTCTTAATCATTCTGTTAGCCCAGGAGACTTATCCTGTGGTAAGCCAGCCAGTGTTTCCTCACTGGTCTGTCTTATCTACATTATCTTAAATATTTAAATGTAAGGATGAGGTTGATTGATTTACTCAACCCACCCCATTTAAAATAAGTGATAATATGTCCAATCTCACTCATAAATCTTAGAGTATGTGTATAAAGTCTTTGCAAATCAATTAATGAAATGAAATGATATGATGCCAGACCAGAATTCTGAGGGATTTCATCATGTTCTCTGGGTCCAGTATAAAAGCATCAAGTTAGATGGAATCAGGAGTTCAAGCAAGTGGCAAGCCAGGAGAGAGCATTCCAGCAAACCCATGAGGAAGAATTTCTTGGGGTAGGGGTGGGGGGCAGGGAAGGAAAGGATAAGCTTGGTCTTTAGTCTTGGTTTAGGTCTTCATCCCACTCTTTTCTGGCCAGAGAAAGACTTTACAAGCTTTGAAAGACAGAGAGGATGCTAGACTTGCTCTCTTCCCATCAGTGTCCTAGTGGCATTTCCAAATCATCAGACTGCAAAGTCTGCATGGGAGCCAAGGACAGACTGAATATCGATCCACTGCTCCACAAGAAAACCAGCAAAAAAAAAAAATCTACAGCATGCCTAATGGAAACTTAATGAGCATACCACAAATGGGTAGAACTTGTAGTAACCAGAAGCCATGAATTATCTGTTTGGCACAAATGGTGTCTTAACTTAAGTCAATGTTCTCCTGGACTCTATATATGCTTACTTATGGGAAAATGGATCACAGACTTTCGGAAGAATGTTTTGTACCAAATGTTCTTACTGTACTACCACAGTGGATACTTCTCTAAAAACTACTTGGGATTAACTGATAACTAAAATGACACTTAACTGATCATCTTGAGGCACATCAATATGGAGTCAAGCCAATGGCATTAGAGAATACTTAAGGGTACCCCCTAAGTATTCTCCTGAAGACATATAAACTCTCCTAAACTACTCTAGGAGTACCCTTCTGAAGAGGTGTAACCTTGCTCTAGGATTTGAAATTCCTCTGTGGGAATTGGGATGGAGCTCCTCTTGAGTTTATGTGAGCTTCATAAAAAGAGAGAAGGAAATGTTGTTACATAATCTTGCAATTACACAAAGATTATTTGCAAAGACCAAGAGCAAGGTCAAGGAGGAGCTAGGTAGGAATGGCAAAGAATAGTTAGATCTCCTGCGTATCATCCTTTCACAGATGTGTGCTGTTAATTATGTGCATTAAATCTCTATCTTCAAGGCATTTTGTTAGTACTGAACTTCATCCTAAAGCTAAACATATTTCACCTAAAGAATAAGCAAACAGCTCCAGAACTGGTTGTGTAGTCTAAAACCATTCCATCCTTCCTAGAAAGCTATTCCTGGAGGATTCAAGGGATGTCAGACAAACAGACAGAAAAGCAGGGAGTCCACTATAAATTTATTTAGGTACTACCATCATTTTTTTAGTCCAACCACAAACAAAGAAACAGATTCCAATTGTCTAAATCTCAACTTTGTTTTGGATCTTGGCAATCTGGATATATAGTATCTGGAGTTTCTCTGGATGTATTTTGGTATTATACTGTGCTGGTGTTTCTGGAAATCATCTGAGAATTTTATCAATTTAATTCTTTTTCTTCTGACTCCAGTGCTTCTGGATCATTTTTAAAAAATATATATATTTAATATTTTATTTTACATGTGAAAATAATTTTTAACATTTTTTTAAAATTTTGAGTTCCAAATTCTCTCCCTCCCTCTTTTCACCCCTCATTGAGAAGGAAAGAAATTTTATATAGGTTATGCATGTACAAAATAAACAAGAAAGAAATTAAGGAGATGAATAGAATTTTAGAAAAGTTAGATATAATAGACCTCTGGAGAATATTGGTGAAAATAGAAAGAAGCATACCTTTTCTCAGCTGTGCTTCACCTTCATAAAAATTGACCTTGTGTTAAACAATAAAAATCTCACAAATGCAGAAAAGCAGAAATAGTAAATGCATCTTTTTCTTACCATAATACATAAAAATTAATTGGAATAAAGGGCCTTTGAAGTATATAAAAAATTAATTGGAAACTAAATAAGTTAATCCTAAAGAATGGGTGGGTCAAAGAATAAATCATAGAAATAGTCAATAATTTCATCAAAGACGATGACAACATACCAAAATTTCTGGGATGCAGGCACAGAAGCACTTTGGGAGAAATGTGTATCTCCAGGTACATATATCAATAAAAGAGAGTAAGTACATATCAATAAATTGGGCATGCAACTAAAAAAATACCAGAAAGTCAACAATTAAACACTATAATAATTAACAACAATTAAACACCATAATAGAAATACTGAAAATCAAAGGAGAGATGAACAAAATTGAAACTTAAAAAAGCTGTTGAACATAAAAAACTAGGAGCTGAGTTGTTTTTTTTAAAAAAACAAAAAACAATAAAATGGATAAGCCATCGGCTAATTTGCTTTTTTTTTTAAAGAAGGAAACTAAATTACCAGTATCAAAAATGAAAAGGTGACTTCACAACCAACGAAGAAATAAAAACAATTATTAGGAGTGATTTTACCAACTATATACTAATAAAACTGACAATATGCATGAAATGAATGAAGATTTATAAAAACATAAATTGCCCAGATTAAAGGAACAAGAAATATTATACTTAAATAACCTTATTTGTGAAAAATAAATTGAACAAATAAATGAACTCTCAAAGGAAAAAAAAACAGGAATTTTTAAAGAATAATTAACATATACTAGCAAAGAGATTACAGCAATATATCACAAAGATCATACACTATGACCAGAATGGATTTTATGCCAAGAATGCAGAGCTGATTCAATATAAGGAAAACTATAAGTATAATTAACCACATCAAAAACAAAAACAAAAATCACATGATTTTTCAATAGATGCAGAAAAAAGTTTCTGACAAAATATAACATTCATTCCAATTAAAAAAAATAGGAAGCATAGGAATAAACAAAGTTTTCCTTAAAATGATAGTGAGATATGTGTGTGTGTGTATACATATATTTATATATATAAAACCAAGTGCCAGCATTATCTGTAATGGATTCAAGCTATAAGTCTTATCAATAAGATTAGGAGTGAAGAAAGGATGTGCATTATCACCATTAATATTCAATATCAGGGGCAGCTAGGTGGCACAGTGGATGGAGCTCCGGCCTTGGAGTCAGGAGGTCCTGAGTTCAAATCTTACCTCAGACACATGATGCCCACTAGATGCGTGACCCTGGGCAAGTAAAAAAAAATATTCAATATCATACTAGAAATGCTAGCCATAGCTATAAGACAAGAAAAAGAAATTGAAGAAATAAGCATAGACAATGAAATTATGTCTATTTGTTCTTTTTCTTTTTTTCTTATGGGAAGATGAGATGGGAGGGAGAAAAAATAGATTTTTGGTCATTGAAGAAAAAATTCAGTTCTTGTAAGAAGTGCTGGGTCCTTTTAGATAAGTGGCATAATGGAGAAAATTCTGTGCCTGAGGTCAGGATGACCTGAGTTCAAATCCAGCCTCAGACACTTACATACTAGTTGTGCGACCTTGGGCAAGACAATTCATTCTGCTTCAGTGTCCTCAACTATAAAATGGGGGTCAAAATAGCACCTACCTACAAGGGTTACTGTGAAGATCAAATAAGATAATATTTACAAAGCACTTAATAAATGCTTTTTCCCTTCTCTTTCCTTCTTTATGAATCTGCAATTCAAGTACATTGAATACAATTCAATAACACAGGTTTCATACAATTAACAAGCTGAGAATACAGCCACTCAACATCTGAAATGGACAAAATCTTAACCGTTGATTGTTTCCGTTTCCTGCTCCCTTTTCTTCCTGTAATTTCATCATGTGGCTTGGGAGAACTCAACTGATCAGGGGTTCCTTAATCATGTTCTTATTATATTTATGTGGAAAAACTTTCTAAGATGCTTTGCAACTCTAAAGTTCTGTGATTCTGAATATTTCAGAAATGTGAGCTTCCTCAGCATTTTTATTCTTTTCTTATGTGTTTGTCATTGCAAAATATAGCTGAGTTATACCTACTCATGTGGTTTAGAACCTAATTTGGAATTTTTTTCTCTCAGTTTGAAATTGTCTTCATATGCAAAAGTTTTTTTCCCCTTACTTTCTGGAAGTTCTCTCTCCTTAAGACAGAAAATGCTACATAACCTTTATTATCTGTGTATTTTGCAGGCTAATGACTTCTATTCTAAGGCATTGGAATTTGACCCACTAAATGATTCTGCCATCTTGAATCGAGGTATCACAAATATAATATTACAGAAATTTGAAGAAGCAAAAGAAGATTTTATAAAGGCAATTCATCTCTGTCCTTTTTGGGCTGCAGTATATTATAACAAGGCACACTTACACTACAATTTACAACAATATGAAACAGCTGAAAAGGATCTTAGTACAGGTATAATTTTTTTATTTCCTGGTGAAATTGAGGTGATTGATACATTGAAATTAGGTTAAAAACAAGAAAAAAATTACCCAAGGAAACAAAAATAAAATTTAAAGTATAATAGTACATAGTATAAATTCTATAATTACATCAACAGATCTCTTTTGTGTTAACTTCATAATTCAAAGAGTCAATATGATGAAACATTTATAGTATTTTTAATAATTAAGCCTCCATAAATTCTTACTTTGATGTCTCATCATGGTTTTGTGGTAACTTTGGGTTCTCAAAGTATATGGCAACAAAGCCCAAGCTCTGTTAGTTCTATCATGTGAGAAAAGCTATGACTGCAGTCCTAAGTATGCTTCCCAAAGACTAGAATCACTGAATGTGCAAATACTCATCTCTAATAGGCTGGCAACTTGGTGATGAAATTCTATGGTAATGACACTCCACTGAAAATACAAAAGTGCCCTCAGACTTTTGTGTTCCTATTTTGCTTCTGAATTGGTTATGTCAAAGTGACAGAAAGGAGGGCAAATGGGGCAAAGAATCATTTTCTTGAAACTATCAGTAAGAGCTAAATATTAGATCCTTGTCTAGTAAGCAAAGACCAGAAATAGTACTGGAAGAACAGGTTATAAATTTTGGCATTCCCACTACAAGTGAAACCAAAAAACAAAATAAAATGGTAGCTAAATAGGAGGTATCAGAGGTTCTCCCTGGAAATAAGCAAAGAAAGGAAGTGGTATAATGATATTACAAAACATAAAGAAATATTATTTCATTGAACAATTCACCATCTTGTATTATTCATGATAAGCAGTTTGCAAGAAGACTGCCACGGAAATGGCAATTACACACCAACTTAATGGCAGCTTATGCATCAGCATTTATATTATAGAGAATGAGGAAGTATAGAAATGATATAAAGAATTTATCTTTTTTTTTCTAAAAATCTATTGATGCCATTACCCCTTGTGTACTTAATACCTTCTTTTGACATTATGATTGGTTCTTATTTCCACACGCAGCTTTCCTAGGACTTAGAAGGAAAGACATTTTAAGCCAGAATAATTAATGCATCCCCATTAGCTTTGGGAAGACTTAAACAAATCAGCAAACTCAGAGAGTAACTCTACTTAGATTGATACCTTTTATTTGTTGAGAACCAGTGGATTTAGAAATAGGGAAATTCTGAGAAGGGATAGGATGAGGAGAACTGGGGAACCTAAAAAAATTTTTCTGGTTTTCTCCTGAGGTAGCTTTTTATGTTAAATGAACAGTAACAGAAACATACATAAGAAGGGATCTTCACAGTATTTTTAAGTATTTATTTTGAACTATTGTGAATTTCCAAAATATTAGATACACCAATATTCAAGTTTAACTAGGAAAAAATTCTAAAGCAAATGTAAATGATTTTCAGATTAGCCACGTCACCATACCCTCCATTAGCAAATTGCATAGGATCCTATACTGGGCCCATTTTAGATCTAGTATAGGCCATCCCTCTAAAAAATAATATCTTTTTGAAAATAAAATAATGTCTAAGTATTCACTGAGAAATAACACTAAATATAGAGTGCTTAACTTCAATATAAACTTAATTTTTAAGTATATAATTTATTTACATATATTACTTAATATAATTTTATATATTATATATAATTTAATATGTTGATATTAATAGCCATTTTATTGATATTAAATATCAACATTAAATAATAATACAATTTACATAATAATAATTAAGACGAATTCAGAGAGAAGCATGCTTTATCCTTTAAGTTGTTTTTTAAACCTCTCCATATTTTTTATCCCTCAAAGAACATCTCCTTAAAGTTTACTCATTTGCTCAAGAATCAAGTATCTTCATCCTAAATCAAATGTTAAGTTTTAAAAGTTTATAAACTCTAATTTTGCCAATTAAGGTATATTAGAAAGAATGCACATATGGTAACATAGTAAAATAAATTTGACACCATAGATGATTTGTTGGAATGTGATTTCAATATTAGTGATATTTAAGTTTTAAAGTAATTTATAACCCCCTAAAATGAAACAATTTTAAATTAATGGAATAAAATAAATCTTGAAATGTATTATTGTCTTTTGCAGCCTTATCATTACAACCTAATAATCATCTGGCATATAAACTCAGAGCAGATGTTCGTGGAAAAATGGGTTTGATTGAAGAAGCTCTGAAGGACTATAACCAGTCACTCGACCTTCAAGAATTTGCTAAAGTTTAGATTAGATTAGACAGGCAGTGCAAAGTATTGCAGAGAAACAATAGCCTTTCTTCTCTAAAATGAAATCTATTTTTGAAAAGAATGAATTAGTATCACTGCTGAATGATCTTTAAACTTTTGTATAATTATCAAAACAATTAACAGCTTAATATTTATTCCATCTTGTGATTTTTAAATTACTAGATTATCAGCTGCTTATATTTGGCCAGCCCAAATAATTGAATTTCTTGGTGGCATTTAATTGCTACTGTCCCTTAAAGAATACTAAAATTATTGAAGTAGTCTCTTTAAATTAAGAATTTCTTTTTGAGGTAGTAATACCTACCATGTGTATACAAGAAAAAAGTGTCATATCTTAAAGAGCCAAATAGTAATGTTTGCAGTAGAGTTCAATTTTTTTTTAAGAAAAATGATCTTCCTGACTGAAAAAAGAAGTGTGAGTTTTGGGAAATTACTTTTTTTTCTTATTGCCCACAATAATGTGCATTATTATATGCATTCTTTCAATGACATATGTATTCTCTAAATGTACTGCTGTAAACAAATTTTTCCTTGAACATAGTAATTTGTGGAGGCATTCTCTTAATCAACATATGCTTTTTAAGGGTGCATATACCTTATTTTTTTCAGACATCCTAGTGCCATGAGATATATCATATAAATGTAGTCAACATCAATACTCTTATCTCCCTGCCTAAAGTATACATATTTGCATCAGAACAAGCCCTTCTCAACAGTGATCCATTTCTTTCACTGAGCAGATCCTTTCTGTAATGAGTCCCTGAGAATTTCCCCAAAGTCTTCTAGGAACTTGCTTCCTTTCTGATGGTGACAGATTTGCTACTATTACAATAAGTATTACTTCAACCCTCACGGGGTCAACGAAGGATGGAGACAAATGTTAGAATTCCTTTTCTACCTCCCACTTTCATTTCTAGTGGCTTATATCCTCCCCACCTCAAGTGCCTGATCTCACTTGAACTCATCAACATTCTTAAAGTAAATGATGTTCACCCACCTCCCATGCTAATTAGCCAATCATACCAGGTGGTAACATGAGAAAATAAATTTTAATTTTTCTTCTTTGTGGAGATACTTCTTGATTAAGTTTCTTGTCTTAGTATTTCTTATCAAACCAGTAACAGGTTTTCCATTTCTTGCTAGCAGGAATGAGTCAACTCCATTACTTAACTGCTGATTTCCAGGAGTGTGATTTGACAGTTGATTTAGTTGGCAAGGCATTACATAAAGATAAGCAATTGTTATTTGCAAATAGTATAACTTTTGCTTTAACTGCTGAAAGATAATGATTATGACTCAAGTTATGTTGTAAAAGAAGAGTGTTCAAGCTATAAGAAAATATCCAATTATGGCTTCTTTAGGAAATAGATACCTAATGTCTGTCTCAGTGGTAGCCAGCAGATCCTACCCCTTCCCTGTGACCTTCAACATCCACTTTAATGACTCCCTAAATGGTTTCAGATTTGTCATCTATTTGTTGAGATACTAGCTAAATTTGTCTGGGCATTTGGATTTCAAACCCGCACATTATTTTTGCCTTCACAGTTATAAACTTGAGCATTGGAACCCAAATTAATTCAAATCAACTATTTTAATGTCATGTTAGGATTACAAATTTAATGGAAAAGTTAGGAAAAGCAAAAGTTTTGTTCAATAGCTGTAATCCCAATGAACTAGCAAAAGAAAGATCACTTTTTTTTCTTTTCCTGATGGAGTTTTTAAAATGTGTAAATTTAAACCACTCCCCAGAAAAGAGCAAATAATAAGCATTAAACTCTATTTTCAACATTCATATTCTCTTGTAGTCTTTCTTAATGCATATAATGCAATTTTACATTTTTAAAATGTCTGTACAAATAATCTTGTGTTCTGCTATTTTCTGTTAACTTCATTTATTATAAAAAATTTCCATGTTTCTTATAGTCCAAATCATGTCCTATGTTGATGTCTCATTGTTGCATGTAGGTGACCTTGAAAGCTATGCTGGCTGAGCACAGACTCTGGCAAGGACTTCAGGTAAAAGTTCAGCAATAGACTCTGTGTCTGCTGACCTAGCACCTGCCTCACTAAGCATATATAGGCTCAATATGAACAAGTTGGCCATGAGAAAATGGAATTTTGTCAGCCACAGAAATTCATGAAAACCCATCCACTATGGCAGACAAAATAATTTGGGTTTTTTTTTTAAGGGAGTACCACAGTGATGAAATCTGATTTTTTGAAGTATTGATTTTTTAAAGCCCACATATTTTTTCATTTTTAATGGGTTTATCATAATGTTAAGATATAATTATAATAACTGTATAACATCATAGCTTTCTTGACCCTTTACCTATTGTAGGGCATTTGGATCATTTCCAATTTGTAATTGTTATAAACGGTACTATGAAAATATTTATAGAAATTACATTGTTTTTTGTTTCAGTTGTTCAGGGAATATATCCTCAAAGTGGAATTCGTAGTTCTTTTACATATTGCCAGATAATTCTATAGAAAGACTGAACCAAATAACAATGCAATTAGTAAAGTGTATGTTTCCCTACATTCCACCAACATGAGGTTTCATCATTTATTTTGCTAAGTGCTAATTATGTGCCAGACTCTGTGCTAAATACTTGGGATACAAATAGAAAAGACAATCCTTGCTCTCAAGGAGCTCATATTCTAATGGGAAAGATAAATATAAAGGATGTTTCAGCTGCAAATAAGATGGAAAGGACCCATAGTTCTTAGGGTATAAAATCTGATAAAATCACGTCTGCTTCTGATGTTGAACCGTTTGGCAGTGCCACATATGAAGTTGAGGTTGATGGTGGGTAGGATGGTGGGCCCTGGATATATCCACAGGCTTTGTTCTCTTTGATGATGCCTGCAATGGCCAGAACAGAAGTAGGGCCTGTGGTGTGAGGGGCATTGCTATTTCTAGGGCACTTGGGCTCAGGGACCTGGGCTGACTCAATTGAGGTCTGAGGGGAGGTGGTGGTTGGCATACTGGCAGTAGTTTAACTTACCTGACTCATAGTGCCTTTTATCTTTCCCTAAAGGTGTCTTGGTGCAACAACTTATTAATAAACATATACATACTAAAGGCAGGAATTTGGAACAAAAGAATGAAGTGATAGAAGTGAAAAATGATGTCTTGAAGCATCCCCATCTAGACATTTTTAACTTCTTTGGTCTCGCTCCCCCTCACCCCTACTCCGTTCATTTGCATGGGCAATGTAAAAGAATCTTATGGTTGAGAAAACTGGGTGGCCTCAGACTCAGACAGCCCTTGATATTTTATTGAAAGCAAAGCCCATAAAATGATTTTGAATGGGTGCAGTTTAACATTTAGTGGGCAATTTAGTGGGTATCATAAGGACTTTCTAATCCTAAACTAGATAGGTAGTTGAGGTTTTAAAAATAAACTTACTGGCTATGGTCATTACTTGCCCTCTGGAGGCAAAGTTCTTTTAAAGAGTAAAAGTCTAGCATAACCAAAACTCTGAAAACTGATAGACTGCCCTATTTTACATTTTTTAATCTGTGTGTACACATTGTCTTGTGTTCTGCTGTTTTCCATTAGACAAAAGCAGCTAAGGATTTTTCCTTAGTTGATAACTGGATATGTGAGCACCCTGTCTTTGAAAAGAGCTGAAGCTTACTTGGTCCAATTAGCTTTAAGATAAAACAGAAATGGCAGAGCTTATTCCTTTTCTTCTTGAGGAAGAGGAAGCTACACACACCTCACCAACTGAAGATGGCAGAAGCAAAAGAAAAGAAAGGAAGGAAGGAAGGAAGCTCTACAATTTCATGCCTATTGGTGCCTTACCTCAAAATGACCAGCAGAAATAACACAACAGAAGTCCACAAACAAGCAGTATCTACTCAAAACCAACAAGAAACCATACCTGGCAGAGACAGCACATCATTATTGCCATGTCCTCACAGACCACACAGACCTGGCAGAAAGAGCACACTGTGCTAGACCAATGAAAAACACCATGATAACATCACCAGAAAACATCATTAGATCTATGGTATCATAAGTGTTTCCCTTCCATACACATTCCCTCCATGTTTGCCCCATCATTACTTTTTTCCTAAGTGGGTTTATTCTTCCCATGGGTGGTCTGTGTGGCCACAAGAGAGTATGTTCCAGGGTGTTGGGGAAAAGGTTGTACTGCTACTTTTTCTTCCCATGATAACTGCATTTAGTTTGTTTCCTTCATTTCATTTTTTGCTGTTCAGTCATTTTTTCAGGCATGTCCGACTCTGTGACCTCATTTGGAGTTTTCTTAGCAAAGATACTGGAGTGGTTTGCCATTTCCTTCTTCAGTTCATTTTACAGATGAGGAAACTGAGGCAAACGGGGTTAAGTGACTGTCCTAGGGTCACACAGCTAGTATCTGAAGCCAGATTTGAACTCAGGAAGACTCATTTTCCTGACCCAGGCCTAACTCCACTGCATCATCTTGGCCACCCCCATTACATCATTTGTCTGAATAGTAAAAATAAACAATACAGATTTACAAGCCTCAATAAATGTCTTCACGAGTTGCTTTGCCCAGAAAAAAAAATTCATCAACTGAGTGCCAATCTTCCAGCAATCCTCCTTGAACTTATACAGGTTTGTCTTCATATAATAATCTGTTACCAGGCAAGTACTTAAGTCTTTCTAGCTTGCTGGAGTCTACCAGATTTGGGGTTCCATTACCATAGCTTTTGAGAACTCAGGTTTGAATCCATCTTATAATGAAATATCAGAATGGGATATTAATAAGGTTCATGGTATTCATTTTGAATTTATTTAATTTTAATTACTTGTGAAACAATACAATTTTCCAAGAAATAAGTTGCTGTCCTTGTTTCCCTCTCTATGTATCTGTTATTCAGTAGCGTCTGACTCTTTGTGACTACATTTGGGGTTTTCTCAGCAAAGACTAGAGTGGTTTGCCATTTCCTTCTACATCTCATTTTACTAAGACAAACAGGGTTAAGTGACTTGCCTAGGGAAAGAAACCTTCCTAACTCCAGGGCCAGCACTTTATCCACTGCACAAACTTGCTATACTGTTTTCTATCTCCTTTGACCATTTATCTGATTAGATTTGAGGTTGTTTTTAACATTCATGGTACTTCTAAAAATAGAAGAGCTGGAAAATAACTAACAATATCTTTAAACTTTATTTCCCCTTTTGGAAAAGTAGAGAAAAAAACTATTAGTGAAGAAAGACAAAAATTCCTTTGACAAAAACAATTAACAGTATTCCATGGCCACATGTATATATTTGTAGGAATGTTTAAAAGATGCCTATGAAAACAGCTGGGCTTGGGGTCAGGAAGACTTAAATTCAAATCCAGCTTCAGAAACTTGGCCAAGTCACTTAACCGCTGTTTGCCTATGGACTGGGGATCCACTGGAGAAGGAAATGGCAAACCACTCTAGTATCTTTGCCAAGAAAACCTCATGGACAGAGGACATGGGGTCATGAAGAATCATGTACATATGATATTAAACATATTAAACATATTAAAAGATGCCAGCTTTGTTTTACTAATGGCTCTCCTAGAGTATTCAAAAATAAGCACTATGAGCTCAGAAAGAAACTTCTGAGAGGATGAAGACCTTTTCAATGTGATGCAAAAGGATTTGACACAGTTACCTGCACATTCAGAACCATCGTTTTAGACAGCCCTTTCTTCTTCATTGGAATTTTTTGTGTTTCTGTATTCTTGGGAGCTTCCCATTTCTCTTCTACAAAATACTGGCCATGGGATCCTATCTATTCTTCGAATTCTTTAAAATCCACTCTTCAGAAATTTGTGGTACTCATCAGACTATGCCCATTTTCCCCGTCCTGTTCCTAGGTGGCACAGGGGATAGAGCACTGGCCCTGGAATTAGGAAGACCTGAGTTCAAATCCATCCTCAGACACTTACCAGTTATGTGGCGGTGGCCTAATCACTTACCCTCTCTGAGCCTTAGTTTCTTCAACTATAAAGTAGGGATAATAACAATAGCACCTACTTCTGAATGAGACAATATCTGTAAAGAGCTTTCCATGATGCCTGGCACAGAGAAGTCACTTAAGAAATGCTCGTTTCCCTCCTTGCCTATCACAGCACCTAATATGCAGTGGTCATTTTTTCCCAAAGTTCTCATCACTTCTACTTCAACAACTTTTGTTGTTGTTCAGTCATGTCCTATTCTTCATGACCCTACGGTTTGCCATTTCCTTCTCCAGCTTATTTTACAGTTGAAGAAACTGAGGCAAACAGAGTTAAGTGACTTGAGGCCAGACTTAAGCTCAGGAAGACTTCTTGATTCCAGGCCAAGTGCTCTAGCCACTGTACCACCCAGCTGCCCAACTCCAACAAGCTCCTCCCAATATGTCTAAGATAGTATTTCTCTTTATTGCTTACTCCACCTTTTGGTTATTCTTGTTGAAAAAACAATTTTATTATGAAAATAACATCTACCAATAAATCATAAACATTTCCATGTATAAAGGACAGAAAAGGTTGATTGTATTGAAAATATACAATGTATAAAACAAGAAAGAGAGAGGGTCCCCTGGGGACCCCACCTCCTCACCACTTGCTCTCCCACAGTGCTCCACAGGGGCTCAATGTGCTTCCTAGCTCTAGCTTTCACCTTGGCACTCCTGCTGCATGGATGAGCATCTGGAGGAATTCACCATCCACAAGGAATCCTTCCTTGACGTTCACTCTGTGCTGGATCTCTATTATAGTGGCAAATGATTTTGGAGTTTCAGA